TATAAGGAGGTAGTATTGAAAGCTTTCCAAAATTACAATATCATATTTTATTTTTGAGAGGAAATACGTTTACTAAAGTAAAAAGTACTTTAACGTTTGCCGTTTTTGCGGCAGAATAATTTTTAGATACAGGATATTGGAGGTGCCATCACTGCCACGGCGGTCACTGGTATTGACGTGCAATGCTACTCCTTTCACTTCAGTTGCCAGCTGCTCTAGTGCACTGTCTCAACGATCGCGTTGTCCATAACTCTATGCTTTCTCCGCCTTTCCATGGCTCTCGTCTCTTTTAGCTTGCCTTCTAGTACATGCACATATTTCTAAATTGTTAGATGCCTACTTCACTCACTACCTGCGTTTTTCTTTAGATGTATTTAGTCGATCATTCGCCTTTGAAGTTAATAAATTGTTTTCTATACGTAGCTGCCTTGTGATTGAAGGACACCACTGACAGGGTCTAGTTCCTCACTGATCCCTCCTTCGTTTCTGTCTTTCTTTCTTGCCTACAGCAACGGTATAAATTGATTGCTAAGATCAGGTTGATGTTTGGCTCCTTTATCCCCATTCCCCTTTCCCGCTCTCGAACACACCTTATGCAGTTGCGAGCGCCATAAAAACCTCTACTAAGAAAAAAAAAAGACAGACAGACAGAGGTAAGGGGGGGGGGGGAGCAATGAGTTATATTACAGTATTGTTTGTTTGGTCATCATGTGTTTTCAGGGCTCCTGAGAAAGTAATACCTGACCAGTAAATACACAGGATTTTTTCTGACTGTCCCATAGGTAAGCCGCGACAGCAATGAGCAACAAACAGTTTGCAACTGCTACCATCTTACTACGTTTGCCGCGGGTTTCGTCGTTGCACCAAACGTCATCGACTGGAACTACGTGTTCGCCAATGCGGACTTCCTCAGCAACCCCACACTCTACCTCACAGAAATCTTGATCACGTTGGTCTTCATTGTGGCCTTTGTCTTAGCCAGACGCAAGGATAAGCGAGACGCACAGAAGGTGAGATGAGTGAAGCCAGTAATCTTAAAGTGATGCTTTGTTTTACCGCCTTCTTGGGCTCTTAATTTAAAATAAAAGGGAATCCTGAGGTTTTTTTTAAACGGACAAAATAGGTAATCCTGGTAACCCTCTTGGTTGTGTAGAATATCGTGACAATTGTTACTTCTAAAGCAGTTTTGATTGAAGTTTGAACCATGACGCAAGAAATGACGCTGGCCCTTTCGGACTTGACCATTCTTCAAGAGACACACGCAAAGTTGCTATCACCTCGGAGATTATACCATGATAAGGAATTTAGATTAGAAAAATAATCAGTTAAACAACATGTTTTTACATTAAATACCTTCTTCCCAAATTTTAATGCAACCTAGGTGTCTAATACGGTTAATATTCTTTCATTAGTGTTTCCATATTAGTTCTATTTTCGACTTCGACAAGTGCTAGCGTGAATACACATTTTTCCCAGTTTGTCTATTACAAATGGGGGCTCTCGTGGCCTAGAGGTTAAGGTGTAGGCCTCTCATTCAAAGGTCCTGGGTTCGAATCCGGGTAGCGACCGAATTTTTTTTTTCTCTAAATTTGTCTCCTTTCACTCCATTTTCTGCTCTCTAGCAATGTTCTGTTGTCTGCTTTCGTCTCCTCTTTCTGCCCCCACCCCTCACCTTTGCCCCTTCCTCTGGGTTCCTGATTCTTTCTGCAGCCTTTCTACTGCTACTCCTTCGCTTCTTTTTACTGCTGTCTTTCA